CTACGAATTCACCTCCATTGACTTGTTTGTGTGTGGTTATGTAAGCTTCCTGATGTATTTGTCTTTTCCTTTCCTTCTCAAACGAGATGTGATTTTCATCAAGAAAGGTCAACGGAGTATGTATCAGAGAGGAATACTTATGTATCTGCCGAGGATAAAACGTGCTTGTGTACATCATAAGGCATTGCCTGTTGATAGCTTTGCAGGGTGTGCTGGCACCTTCTCTAGTCATCATCTCAGATCTCCCTGTAAGAGTTTGAGAAAAATGTTTATTGTTCCAGGCTCTTTGGTGTAACGGGGAACTGCGCCGCCTGTAGTAAGCTCATCCCTGCCTTTGAGATGGTGATGCGGGCCAAGGACAACGTTTACCACCTGGACTGCTTTGCATGTCAGCTTTGTAATCAGAGGTAAGCAGGTTTCATTCCCGTGTCTAAAAAGTGGCAAACCTCTAGTTGCTAGTTATTTACTTAATAGATGGGAATTATATATATTACTTAAGGCTATTAATCTCAGCATTTTGTTTTCTGCAAACATTCATTGGGTGCCAGGAAGAAAGCACTGAGGGGGAAAGGTCTTAAAACTGTGCTTCTACCCGCAGAAAGAGCAACCTATAGCAGAATGTGAGAAGCAGTGAAGACACTGCTATTTTAGTTTTCTTTTTATTCATTCTTTATTATTTTTCTGTCATTTTAAAAAGTAGGTTTAGAATATCCCTAAAATTTACTTTAAAACTTTAAAAGTATCTTGAAAATATTCTTTTTAAAAGTAGGCTTAAAATCCTCACTTTTTTGTTCTGTGACCCAACACATTTGCCCTGAGGCAAATATACAGGAATTTGTAGGAGGTAGTGTGTCTTATCTTAGTTTTCCTATTTTGGTTGCCCTGTCTCTTGATTTCTCATCTTGAATTTTAACCTTGTTTTATATGTACTTTTTAAGTTGCTTTAAGTTTCCTTGGGAATGAGGCCAGATATAGCTAATAATTTAACACTTATCAGCATTGGATGGGCAGCATAGGCAAAGGGGAAGAGTACTGCACAAGGAATCTAGAAACCTAAATTCTAGGCTGGGCTTTGCCCCTCACAAGATGTATAACCATCCATCAAGCATTTTAGCTTTCTGGATCTTGGTTTTCTCATTTACAACAAAAAGGAGCTGGATTAGCCAGTCTCAGAGAACTCTTTCATCTAAAAGTATTATCACTTTATTCCATTTTTCCCTCTGAAAGTTGTAACTTTTATTTCCAGTGGGACCCATACACTACTGATACCTGTTTTATATGATATATGCAGAGGATATTAGAATATGAAACTGTATCTATCATTAAAATACATTTAAAAATTTACTGCACTTGATGGATATTAATGAAAATATATTCAAGGTGAGAGTGACAACACCTGACATACTATATAATCAGGCCACATTTATTATATCACGTTCTCAGTTACTGTGATTTGCACTGCTTTACTATTCAATGCAGCGTCTTTTTATGAGGCCCTGTGTAGAACAGCACAGAGGACATGATTTTTACAGGAAGAAATGGATTCAAATTCCAGCCCCATTGTATATTAGATACAACATCCTGAGTCTGTTACTTCATCTCTGAGATTTGTTTCCACCCCCTGACAATGAAGACACTAACACCTATCTTACAGATTTTGAAAATTAAATGAAATAACTTATATTAAATACCAGGAGCACAATTGGTCCTAAAAAATAGGCTCTTTTATCTTGATAGTTACAATTTACTTTTACCAAATCATATTCCACTAACTTGGTTTATATACAAGATATGTATCTCAAAAAAAAAAAAAAAGATATATCTCAATGATACGTCCTGCTAAATGGAGATGTTCAGAGTAGTGCCCAGCATACCTTGCCAGTATACCTATACCAGTATACCTGAATATCTAATTTATCCAGGAAATAATTCAAAAAGTCATTTTGTAGGCACTTTAAGTCTGCACAAAATTTTGGAATCAAAGCTGATTAATTCAGTCCATGGTGACCTTTAGGCAAAAATAAATTGACAAGTATGTGTGTAAAGATATAGGCACATGAATATAAATATCTACACATTTATACAGATATTTATATGCACGTAAACATGTATGTGTATATATTTTAAAGGTGCATTAGTATACTTCTGTTTACTTGCCCTATTGATCCACTAACAGCATCCATTCAAATACAGTTATCTTCATGCAACAGTAACACTTAACTTCTTTTCTACTTTATGAAAGGTTACATATTCATAGTAGAAATTTTGAAAAATAAAAAGGGTTAAAAAATCACATTGCCCCATGTCTTACTATTCTAAAAGAAGGCATTTTAATATTTTGGTGTATAGCTGGCCATATGTTTTCTTGTGCATATATGATGGGTGTTATATAGCATATATTTTATGATACATTTGAGCAGCTTAAAGAAAAAGAACAGGGAAGAATCCTAGTGTTTGATATTTGGACTTTTTCATTTATGATAGCATGCTTTTCAAATTCTTTAAGATACCTTAAGCCTTCTTGTGTTTTATTTTATGAGTAGAGTTTCATATGTTAAATCAGTCTTCTCTTGTCAGATGTATAAGCTATTTCTTCAACTTGATATATTACCAATATTATCGACATAATATTATCAACATAATATTTACAAACAAACAATATTCAAGTATGTGTCAGGATAAATTCACGGGAGCACTGGACAAAGTATATAACCCTTTTAAAGGTTTATGTTATATATTGTTAAAATGCTCTCCCCAACAGTTATACCAATTATTCTCACACCAGAAATTTAAAAGCTATGTATTCCCTTCCATTCACTCTAGCATTGGGAGTTATTATTTAAAAAGAAACCCTTGTCACCCTGAGGGATGAAAGATGGTGTCCCATTATAATTTTTAATTAGTATTTATTTGATTTCTAGTGGCCCTTTGCTATTTCTTCTTTTAGGGAACGGCCTGTTTATGCCCTATGTCCATTTTTCCTGTAGGGCAGTCTCCCCTATTTTATCCATGTTCTACACAGAAAATTAAAACATCATTCAAGGGCTAAATCCAGCCTAAATTCTATTATGATGCAAAGTAGTTGTAGGTTGTTAATGCTATTTACAAAGCATATATCAATTTTATTTCACCATTGAAATAAAAAGTTGCATTCACAATTAAGTCTATCCTCAGTAGAACTCAGTCAAGTAAGACAAACACTCCTAAATTTTGACTCTAAAACTGTTCACATTCTTATTGCTGCAAAATACTATTCTAGTATCATTATTAAAGTACCTAATATATTTCCATGTTCGCTTCATTTATTACATGCCATAATGGGACTGCATATCTTTAGTGCTGGTTATGCACAATTAGCACTTAGTTATTGTCTTGTCACTTCAGTCCCTACAAGACAAACTTCTTTAATGCAAGAAGTCAGCTAATCTTCATCAGTCAAGCAAAGCAGACAAATTTTGTTACTCTGAATACAGAAGGTTTTCAACATAGGAGATTTTCTTTCTACTTTGACATTTGCTAGGGAAATCCTCTCCAATAAAGCCATATGCCACATGAGCCTATACTTTCAGTAGCCAAATTATTATTATAGCATTGCACCTTTTCAAGTGAAACACAAAGCAAACAGGTAATTTATAGGCACTTTCCCTTAAGCAAACTTTATTGGCATCTGAGACTGTGGTATTATAAATGCTTATGAATTTTATTTAGCAGCCATTTCATCGTAACTTTTAAATCAAAAGATCATTAAAATCAAAAGCATTTCTGAGTGTTTGCAAAATGGTAGTAAAAATAACTTTTTAGGATTGGTTGTTTCTTGTATATACCCTCTTCACTCTTTTGAGAGGGGGTATGGCTAAAGATGTGAATCCTGAATTAAACATCTAAGGTGTTTTTATTTCTTTTTCTTTATTAACAGAAGCAGAGGAATGTTATTTTGAGCATCTTAGATGACAACTGAATCTCACTCAGAATTGAAGAATTCTATGTAATAGGTTAATTTCTTAAAGGTGACCAAGCCCCTCCTCCTTAGACAGTTCTGTAAAACTAAATGATGGTTTTACAAGAAAAGGAAAGAACATGTTTATTTGTAATGAAATTGCCTCAAAGACGTAGAATTGTGTAACACTAAAGAATAAAAGCGCTATGCTAGGCTCTGGAAAGAAAGGTGAAGAAAAACCAGTTTCTCTCTTATTCAGAGCTATGGGAGAGACAGGACATCAAAGACTCACAGAAGAGTGTAATCGATGCTAAACAGATCTATACTGAGGAAAGAGAGGTCTGTCCTTCTTGAAGTCTTAGAGAAGCATCAAAGGGTTGATGTGCTGGGTTTTAAAACAGAACTCCCTAGGACTGGTTGGAATGTAGGGATTGTGTCTGGTGGGGGTTGGGGAGGACAAGGAAGCCAAGGAGCAGTGAGGAAAGGGTTTTCCAGGAAAATGGAAGCATCATGCAAGGCATGGGAAGTGTGAAGCATTTAATGTGTGCAGGAAATGAAAAGAGCTCAGAATGCTCAGAGATTAGAGAGGGAGTTTGGTCGGGATATGGAGAAAGAGGGAATGGCATGAGGATCAGGAGGAGGTGAAATTTAAAGGTAGGAAGTCAACAAATGAGTCAAAATGAACACAAATTTAAATTATCTATCTAAAAATACCTTTGTTATTTAAAGCTATTTGGTTCTGGGATAAATCTGTCTTAACCTGTACTTACTGACCACCCACCTCAAGTGGTCATGTAATTTATGGTGGTATTTCAGAGGGTCCAAAAGAACTATAACTCATGGGCCCTTACCCCAGCACTGCAGCCCAGATTGGGAAACTTGTTACCCATTCAGGAGGAAATCTGAAATACCAAAGTAAATGATATGCCAATAAATAAGTGCCTTGGGAAAGATCAGAATGAGCTGGCATGGCCAGGGAATGTATTGATGGAGGGAATGGAAACTAAATAATTTTTTTAAAATAATTTAAACAGATGAAAAAACAGGAAGAAATAGTCATGGTTAGGGAATGGCTTAAGCAGAGGTGAAAAAAAAAATTGTCATTAACAAATAATGATAGCAGAATTCTTCTATAGCCCTGATCATACACTAGACACTGTTCTGCTTTACATGTGCTCATTTAATACTCAATAAAATGAGATACTATTATTGCCCTCATTTTATAGATGAAGTAACTGAAGTACAGAAAATTTAAGTAACTTGCCCTAGAAAACAATGATAGAAAATGGTAGACTCAAAATCTGAACCCAGACAGTCTGGTTTTAGTCTTTCGACTCAGATCTGATATGAGGGCCCTGGACTCCTTCAAGAGAGGTATTTTATTTTCTGACTGAATGACTATAAATGGGAATAGATATGGTGAAATTCAAGCAAGGTAGTCTTTGAACGATTTATAGCAGGATTCGGGATGTGGGTATTGTAAGTTGGTGTAGAAAAGGTGATCAGGAATGAAGTATGTAATGACAACTGGACAGTCTTTGGGAGAAGAGAGTAAATTCGTTCACAGTGTATAGTGGTGTGACGATGGGTATATAATCAGTACTTCTTACTGAAAACAAAGTACAGCATCGAAGTCTCCATCTTTAGTAATGGAGGGTGCTACATAGAAGATAGAGACATTTGAAATATGGACTGGATCCCCCCACCCTTTTTAAAGTACTGTGGAGTTGGGAACTAATTATATTGATAGCCACTGCCTTTGGGGAAATAAGATGACTAAATTAATGTTTTCATTCTTAGAAAGGATGTGAAAAGGTTGCAAATGGAGGCTTCTTTGCAGAATCTTTTGATAACTGCTTAAAACTATGCTAAGCCCCATATAAGGGTGATTAATTAATTATATTTATTTTCTGTACTTCTCAAGTCTCTAAGACTGCATATGAGTTCAATTAGAATCACTCCAAAATATCTGGAAATTAAATCTATTATTATTAACTACAAAACATCAAGATTAAATGACTGAGTAATCTGATTGAGCATCTTTTTATTCCTTAACATACTTTTTTTTTTTTTTTGTAATGAAGGCAAAATTAATTGAACTGACTATAACACAAGCAATTAGGATTAGATTACAAGGAAGATTATCAGCTTATTTTCAGGAATTTTAGCATGACCTATTAATATACTTACAGTATCCTCTGGCCATCACTGCTTCTATAATATTTTTTCTGCCAGCGCTAAATCTCAAAAGGAGCTCACAACATAGGAAAACTAGCCTTTCTCACAAAATCAGTTATAGACTATTTTGTTAAACATCTAATATCTGCATTGCTGTTTCTCTAATTTCTTCATGTTTATATATGGAACATTTTAAAGGAGTATACCAATCCAGGGGCACCTGGATGGTGCAGTGAGTGAAGTGTCCAACTCGGTTTTGGCTCAGGTCCTGATCTCAGGGTCATGAGATCGAGCCCCGCACTGGGTTCTGTGCTTAGGGCAGAGTCTTCTCGGGTTTCTCTCTCCCTTTTCCTCTGCCCCCCACCAACATTGTCTTTCTCTCTCTCCCTTTCAAATCGATCAATCAATCAATCTTTTTTTTAAGAAGGAGTATACCAATCCTAATCACAAAGCAATTATAATCTGCTTTAGCCATAGCTTTCAAAGCTGTTTTAAGTTATAAGTGTAAGTGTGACATTTCTCACCCACGTTCTGTTTTGTCTTGACTTTTCAGCATAAACTGAAATGCACATAAAAGGTACTTTGTGCAGTTGACAACATTAGCAACAAAATATTTTAGGTAGGACTATTTTAGATGAATTCCATTTATATTACCAACATCTCATTGAATGCTAGGTAGACTTTTTTTTAATGTTATGCAAAGGAACAATAGTGATACAAAAAACCCGTATTAACTTCAAAGCCTTATGCTTTACTGTTTCCAGGTAAAGCATGGGTCTTGAGCCCAAAGAGACCAGAGTTGGTTTCCTTCCTCCAAAATACACATTCTAGCTATGGGGCCCGGCAGGTGTTTTAAAATTCTGGGAGGAAGCCTTTAGGTTTTTCATTTGAAAAAGGCAATAATTACTTTCTCGGTTAAATATAAATAGAAATAATCGTGCATATACATACTTAACATTAGCACATAGTAAGTACTCTATAGAAGGTGGCTATTTTAATTATCTACACTCCAAACACTGAGTTAATGCTTTGCCTACTTCATTCCATTCTTAACACACACTTTAAATAGTCAGTTATATTAAAGATAAGAGAAAATAGTTTTATCTTCAATATCATAAGTGGAAGGTTGGGATTTGAACTCTTTTCGTTGCAATATACCTCTCTGCTGCTCATATATTTCTTATTTTAACATCCCTACAATTCAGTGATGCAGCTCTTTTATCATAACCACACAGAGTTGACTCAGAGAGTATGAAATGGACCCTATAACTTGCATTGGGCAGCATCAGGGCTCAGAATAGGTCTCTAGGCTTTTGGTTCAATGCTTTTCTCATGATCATTACCCCGAATTTATTAATCCACAAACAAAAATTACCTAAATTTCAAGGCTTCTGAAGGTAAGAATGACATAACTTCACATGACAAAAACAAAAAATGTTTTTTGGGCGGTGGCTGGTTGGCTCAGTTGGTAGAGCATGTGACTACCTTTGGGTCCTGAGTTCATGCCCTAAGTAGAGCATATTTTTAAAAAAAAAATTTTTTTGATAGTGAATAGAATTTGGGGGCTTGTTAGAAAATTGAAGCAAGGTTTTAGTCAATATAGAGTTGAAAGAGTATTTCCAATTCAGTTGGTTTTTAGGAAAAAAAACAAATTCAGTGATATTAGCTAGAACACAGGAGTATTTGTTGAATTTATTTATTTTGATGTGCTATTCTGTCATTAGCTTATTCAAATTAATTTCAACAGTAATATGAATTGAAAGTTTTAAGCAGTAATCAGATATATCCTACATGCTATTTTATGTAATCTCACATGAAAGATAAGTATCTAATTTGACTACTTAGGTCTGCCCAACAGAAGAAATAGTTCCTTTTATTCAACATATCCTAATGATCAGGATAATGTACAAAACCTCGTTTACTCTCATGCCACTTTTTAAGCACAATATTTAAAGTTTGTAGTTTTCAACTAATAAAAAGAAGATATACTTAAGGTTCAAACTTGAATGTTCATTCTATCCAATAGCCTTGACCGCAAACTCCAGGATTTCAAGATCAGTGCTTAGTCTGTACTTTCAATCAACATCATCAGCAGGCAGTAATCCTGGGAAAAAAAAGTAAATTCCACAAATAAACAGACCAATCTTCCTTTAAGAGGAAAGCTAATTCTTTTCAATCTACTTTTTTTATTACACTATTTTCCCCTCTATCTACTTAGCTAGAATAAGGATAAATTTCCAAAGCTACCCAGTTGGAAAATAAATAGGTTCACTGTTTGTCTAGCATTCCAATCTTTGCAAATGTAAATCAGTCCAACTGCTCCTCATTTAAACCTTCAACTTCACAAAACATTAAAGGGTTGCTTTCACTACACAATTTAATCTATCCACTAAGATTTCTGCTTGAACATCATTCGAAATTGACTATCTGATAAAGAGAGACCACTATCAAAGGTCAGTGAGGTCAACTTGTATAATTACAAGTAGTTTTACTGGGTCAACTCTACTAGACACTGCTGTTTGAAGGTTAAATTGTTACAATTAAAAATATATACAGATCTCCCCAGAGTTACTTTATTGTTAAATGTACTGGAAACAGCACAAGCATTTATTTCTGACCTTAATTGTGTCCAAAGTGTCACTGCTGGGAAATTATACAAAAGAGCACTTATTAAAAACATTACAATCTTGTACATTAAACAGTGCTTTATAAAATAAAATACATAATTAGCTACTGGAAACTAGTTTATTTATCACATCAATATTAAGAAGTTCATTCAGGTTACTCCCTTTAGTTTAATTGGGAGTGGGCTAAGAAATGACATTTAATATTTCATAGTTGGTGAACTTGCCACAAATAAAAGATTATGGCCCAGCATCAGAGTCTGATGCTAAAACAACTTTTCCTTCAAAACAATCACTTCCAGAATACCAGAATTTAATCACATTTTAATAAAAGAGATCAAAAGGAAATTTAAATGGGAAGCTTTAAAATGGGCCACTTTCTAATTATTTGATACATTTTAATGCCTTTTACTTTTTTTTTAATAAAGTGAATAAATGGCCACTGGTGAAATCTTCCATAATCACTGCAGTGAAATACTATTATCATTCTTTCATTTATTTTAATGTCTGTAAATATAGATCAATTTTTTTTTTTCTTTCCAAAGTGGTGATAAAAATCACTTCTGCTGCCCAAGGTGTTTTCCTCGGTTTTCCTGTGCTTTTTATATATAACTGTAGGATATCAAATTTTGTGTGCAGTGTTTCATTGAATGATCTACATAGTTTAATTTCGACAAGGAAGGCAACTTTCTAAACCAAGCTTTCAAATTCAGGGAATTACCATGTGACATTATTACAAGGAAAAGAAATCTTCAAATCTATAGATGGGAGTGAAATGATCTTAACACATTTTATTTTTTTAATGTTTTCAGATTTTGCGTTGGAGACAAATTTTTCCTAAAGAATAACATGATCCTTTGCCAGACGGACTACGAGGAAGGTTTAATGAAAGAAGGTTATGCACCCCAGGTTCGCTGATCTATCAACATCACCCCATTAAGAATACAAAGCACTACATTCTTTTATCTTTTTTGCTCCACATGTATATAAGAATTGACACAGGAACCTACTGAATAGCGTAGATATAGGAAAGCAGGATGGTTATATGGAATAAAAGGCGGACTGCACCTGTACGTAGTGAAATTGCCCCAGTTCAGAGTTGAATGTTTATTATTAAAGAAAAAAGTACTGTACATATTGCTGGATTTTTTTGCTTGCTATTCGTTTTTGTGTCACTTGGCATGAGATGTTTATTTTCGCCTATTGTATATAATGTATTGTAATATTTGAAGCACAAATGTAATACAGTTTTATTGTGTTACCATTTGTGTTCTGTTTGCTTCTTTGTATGGTGGCATTCAGTACAATCAGTGTTTCAACTTACTGTATATTTATGCTTTCTGTATCTACCAGCTATTTTAAATGAGCTGTAACTTTCTAGTAAAGGATTGAAGAGCAAATTTCACTGATGATACACATATAAAGCAAGTCTATCAACATTAAAATACTTTAAAAAAAGAAGAAGAAATGAAGACACACACAAAACATTTTAGCAACATCCACTATTCATTCCACTATCATTACCATGATGATTTAGAGTCTATCGGTGTTGTCATTATAACCCCCGATTTTCAGGGGGTTAAAGATCAGCTTTAAAAAAATGCATAAGAATTTCATCTTAAAGCACTTTCATTTTATACCAACGTGAAAAGTGCCATTTTTAGAATAACTTTAAAGCTTAGCAGTTATCCTTTTGATGTCCTTTTTGTGTGTGTGTGTGTGTTCTTTACCTACACAATGGCTTTGGGCTTTTTGTTTTGTTTTGTTTTGTTTTGTTTTGTTTTTTTAGCCACTTACCCCTTATGTAAACTAGTGCCTTTGGGTATCATGTAAAATTTTTCCAAAGGGTTACTTGAGACAAGTGTTACCACAATTATGAGGTAATTTTAAAACGATAAATTTCTTGTAAAATTTTGCCCAGATTTCTCCCTAAGAGCTAAGGGTTTAATAACTTTATGGCTTGATAAATTTCTGGCACTGGAAGGATTTGAGTGCAAATCTACTGAAACCATGATAATACACACTGAAGCTGTGATGATATTTGAATAGTGAGCTTACTTTTTTGATCAGAGCAACATAGTGCTCACAGAATCTTCTAGAAGAAGAGAAACAAAGGGATTGTCAAAGAGCTGAGAACTGGTGATTATATATTTTTCTGTATTTACCTGACACTTATTTTAGTGTTCAAAAGTGAAGACTTTAAAAGTTTGACATGTCTTACTGCTTTCTTTAAGTAGTTAACCTGCTCAGATTATATCACACTTAAGGCTGAAATCTGTCATTCCATTTTATAAAGGTGAAAAATTATTCCCTTACTAACATGATAGATGATAAAGAAGAAAGCTTTCTAGAAACAAATTATGGAGACCGATTATTTCAATAACAATTTAAGGAAATAAAAATAAGACTATGATCCCTTCTTCTAGGTTGCTCACACTTTGCTTCTTTGCTTCTGCTCCCTGCAATAGAACTACTTTTCAACAAATCTAATTTGACACAGGCACAATGAAGCATATTTTTGCTAGAGCAAATTTAGTGCTGTGGGTTTTCTTTTTTCTTTTCTTTTTCCTTTTGATCACTTGTATAGGAAACAATATTTCCCGGTGTTATTTGCATACATATTTTGTCCTGCCAATAGATGCATTGCAGATGAAAATGAAATGTGATACCTGAATTCTTGGTTTGGGGCCAAATATTAAACTGAAAGTAATGCTGGTGTGGATTTTTGTTTTAAAACAAAGCTTTATTATGAACATGCATGTGAATCTGGCTGTTGCCTCTCGTTTTTAAGAAATGGTTCTGTGAAAAGTGAATGATATGTATTTTTACAAATACTTCATGGTTAAGAGTGTTCAAGTCACATGTCCCTCAGATTTGAGATATATCGAAAAAAAATTTTTCAAAAATAGGTATTTGGGGCCCAAGAAATAACTATTATTTTAGCCTTGGGGCCTTACATTTGTTTCATGGTAAGACTTGCATAGCCAAAACCAAAACCCAAGCCAAACAAAAGGTGGTGGGGTGCGGGCATCTGTGAAAAGTGGTTTTTCTCAAGCAGCCCTGTGAGTCCCCATTAAGGGGTGTCTGAAATTCATGTGGATGTCAAATTGTAATTGCCAGTATCTTTTTCAAATGATCATTTTTAGATTTAAATGGTTTTGCCTATGTTTATCAATATGTCAAAATACTTGTAAATTGGGAACCAACTTCTCTTAGCTCCTGGAAGCTGTTCAATTATCCTTGCCACCCAAAGACCAAACAAGTTTTTATCGCCTTTTCTCTTCCCAAATCCTTCGGGAATTAATGCTTACGCTTTTTACTACAAGCAAAATTACTCACCTGGATTAAAGATTAAGGCCTTAATCTCCTTAGATTATCTCTAATCTCCATGAAATTGTGAAACCAGACAGAAATGGGTCATTTTATAGCTAATTGCCCATAAACAGTAGCATTTTTGACCTGAAGTACTAAGCTAATTGTCTTGACTACGCAAAGTCCCTGAATTGTCGTCACCTTTCCTCTTTGTGTTGTGTAGCCCTGACGTCACTTAGCTTGTTGCCCCGATGCCTCCAGTAGGACACCTCCAAAAGAGCTTTGATTTCTCAAGCCGTGAAACCTCCCTTCCTAACATGCATCTCAGAGAGGCTGCCTATGATGAAGGACAGGGCACCTCCACTCCCCCAGAGTGCTGGCTGAGTTTAAAAGCTGACCTGTGTTTGTAATTTCACTTTCATCTTGCTTAATAAATATCTGCTGGATTCTTTCATTCATTTTTTTTATATTTGGATTTATGTTTTTAATAAAAGGGGTATTATACTCTTTGATTGCGCTTAATTGGCAAAATCTAAGATAATATCTAGAAAGCGTTGAGTCAGTCCACTTGAAAAAAAAGAATAAAGTGTGAAAGGACACTTACTTTCAAAAGGTAAATCATAACAAGCATAGACAAAGTACCTCAAATGCTTTCTCCAAATGTTATATTTAAGATCTTCGAGCTAGGTAGTTTATTGTTATTTACTTCTGTGGGAAAATAAAACTGTCAAAAATGAAGGTAACAATCGCTGGGTGTAATTTTGTACATTTACACAAATTTCCAGTGATCTGCCTGAAAGCAACTCTGTTGCTGTCGTCAGACTCAATTTCAAATTTCCTATTTTCTTTATAACGAATTAAAACAAAACAAAACAAAAAACAACGAAATCCTACATTTTCAGGGAAGAGATGTTGTGCCTGCAATGAAATGGTGGGGGGGGGGGGCTGAAAATTATATCTGTGGTAAAACATACCATGTACAAGTAGTTTCCTTTTAACTATCACTTAAAGCAAGCTCCTCTCACCATAGACACTTAATTTCCTAGAAATGATACAGGCCAAACATGTTTATTGTTCACTTCAGCAAGTTGCAAAAACAAACTGCATGTTCATTGTAATAGGCCATTGGCACAGAATACAATTTTAGCAAAAGCCTTTTGATTGCTACTGTTTCTTAAATACACCATTATAGATATTCCTTAAATGTGATTTTAATGCAAGTTAAAGCAATCAAGAGCAAAATGTTAATATAGGCATTATTTTAATTGACATTTATTGAGTACCTACCATGTGACAGGCCTTGCTCTGAGCATTCAGGGAGCTTCATATTGGGCTGACTTGGGGTCCTCCAGACGTCAGAACATCTTAGTGCATCTCTGCGCTGGTTTGGGCTCATCTCAAACCTACGAATAATGAGCACAGAAAAGCGAACACCATCTTCTACCTATTCAGCATGTCATTGGTATGAAGGACCCAGAAAATATCTCAAGTAATCAATGTGTTCAGAGAATTATCTCACACAAATTACTCATTAACTCAATAGCACATAATAAAAAAGAACATCAATTAATTAATGAGTTACCCTCAGATCACTGTGATTACAATAGAGCTCTGTTCAAACCGCGGTTATAAATGGAGCTGCCTCTGTTCATTGTTTGCAATTGGCCCATTATTTGGCTGAAACCAGTGTCATATTTAACACATGCCTGTAGGTAATTGTGTGATTAGTATCATAAATGAAGAATTCAGAAAATGTATTGCTTATGGCCTTAGAAATGGTCAGAAAAATAAAGACAACTCTCATTTATACTATAGCTTCTTTTGAGGCCAAGCTATTAGAAGGACATTATCTATCTAAAAGGTATACTTTTACATTTAAAAGACTTCCATGCTGAACATTAAAGATTAGCTACCAAAACACTTAAAAATAAAATTTACAGTGCTTTAGAATACACATAATTTTGGTAACTTTTAACAAAGACTAGTCGTACAAAAGTTTTGGTACCCCAAAAGGATATTTTTGCTTTTGGAAGGTCCAGCTTGGGGGAGGGTGTGAGGAGATTGACAGCAATAGGGGAAGAGATGAAAAGAAATGCCAAATATTGCATACAAAGTCACCAACTAAAGTTTCCCAACTATCTTGGTAAATGCCATTCCAATAAGCTTATAGAATAATTATAACAGTTCCCTTAGGTAAGTAAGAAACATCTGTTGGTAACACATAGCAGGTGTTAACAATTACACATACTGAAATTTTTAAAAACGTTTTTAATTAAAAGAATTCTGTTTGCTGAAAAGAAGAATATGTTAAATTCAAAGATACTCCAGTTTTGAACGTGCAGGCCACATACATAATGCACAAAATTGTAAAGCCCAAATCATCTTGGATCAACTAGGTTTAGTATTTGGTTCAGATCATTGCAATCAAAAGTAAATTGGAATTCACTGCACTTTTTACACAATTGGTATTCTGGGCTGAGGAGCTGAATACTCATGAAATTGGTATAGCAGAGCTGTTTAGAGAATATTTTGGCTTTATGGGCAAGGTGGTTGCCATTAACTGTACCAAATTTAATGGACACAGTACAAAGACAAATGAGAACAAGACACATCCAGAAAATAGATTATCCAAATCTTTTTTTAACCCTACTTCTAAAGAAGATTTTAAATCACCTAACACAGTCCCTTTGTAACATGTAACATTATCATATGACCCATCTTCAATAGCTTTTAATAACAGCTAACATTCACTGAACACTTACCACCTATCAGGCAGTTCTTCACGCCCAAGTAATTCCCACAACATCCTTGTAACATAGTTACAATTACCCCTATTTTGCAGATTTTAAATAAAAGCAGAGAGAGGTTGCCTAACTTGTCTAAGGTCATACAGCTTGTAAGTAAATTAAACATAAGTTTTCTGGCTCTCGGGCTTAACCGCTGTACTGT